CTCAATACATATACCGGAAGTAGTCTGCCCTACACTTTTCTGCACCGGCGCAGGAGGTGCAAGTAAATTGAACGCAGCTTCTATCTCACTCCTGGGTGAAGTTATCGTACCCGTTGGGTTCGAAAACCTACCCGCGTCCAGCGTTGCTGCATCTGTTTCGTCACGTGACTTGACCCGCCGGAATAACTCGGCGCCATTCGAGTAAGATTCGAACGCAGCCCCAGAGTGCCCATCTGCTGGCTGCGATCTGGCCAATCTGATCTGGCCCACCTTTGGGCGCAGCCATCTTAACGTCACGTGATCACTAATGTGGCAAACAGGCAAGATGGCGGCAACCGGGGGGGGTGCCATTTTTGACCGCTGGTTTACCGCTCTAAGTTTACTCAAGCTCGTTGGTTATAAGTGCTAATTATTTTGGGAATTAAAATCAACGTTTGTCCTTTAAGATCATCAGAAGTTCTTTATTTCTCTGTCACGTAAGAAAGATTTTTTTTCCCTCACAAAGTTTACTTCACAATTAGGCTAAATGTCTTTTTTAGTGACTTCTCTGCTCAGAAAATTCTTGTGCAAGAACATTGGAGTGACAAACATCTGAAAGTTAAACATTTTGATTGGCTGAAAAAAGTTTAAAAAAAAAGTGGAGCTTTTTATAAAAGCTATTACCTCGAAATAAAACTGGGATAGATAGACATGATTGAAAGCAGATTACAGAAAAGAGTATTCACGTTTTCTCAAGTGAAGTGAATAACTTCTTAGAGCGGTTCAGCAGCAGTGCTATTTGATCAACGACTTTCACACAGGCGAAGGTGGGGTGAAATCGCTGAGAGAGCTAGTCTGCGACTAATTTGCCCGAGACGAGGAAAGATAGAAACGAAGCTAGCACACTGCGGCTATGTATATGTGCTTGTCCGTTTTTAGCTGTCCTTGTTGTGGGTAAATTGATTTTTTTATAATGTAGCTCATGTAGAAAAGTAGTGGTCAATTGGCAATATATTGGGTGTCTCAAATAGTGGCCAGTCTCTTTAAATCGACCACAAAATTCGGTTTCTTAACCTGTCGCGCTAGGATTTTGTGCACCGTTGCCCACAGGTGGTGTATTTTTTTCTATAAAAATTGCAAAGAGCGAACTAACTGAGGAAAAAATAAAGAAAGAAAAAGGCTTAACTGCTATGGAAATGCAGCGAAGGCAACGGTCTTCAAAAATAGGGCGCCCTATTGTTTGAAGACTGGTGCCTTCGCTGAATTTCCAAAGGAGTTAACCCTTTTTCTTTCTTTACTTTTTCCTCAGGTAAGTTCGCTCTTTGCAATTTTTATAATAAAAAAATGCACCGCCTGTGGGCAACGCTGCAAAATCTCCTAGCGCAATAGGTTAAGAAACCAAATTTCGCGGTTGATTTAAAGAGCCTGGCTGCTACTTGAGACACCAAGTTAATGTTACACGAATGTTGAGGACAAAACATACCACAAATGTTTGCTGTGTGGTCATTGGAAATATATAAACAATGTTAATAAATTATGTTCCACTAATGTTGAGGGCATAACATACCACAAATGTTGAGGGCATAACATAGCACAAATGTTGAGGGCATAACATAGCACAAATGTTTACTGTGATGTTACGGGAATGTTTTCAGATAACGTTCCAGCAACATGACATTTCGCGGACATTAGCCACGTATACACAACGTTGGCGGACCACATTCCAGTAACATTGTGGCAACATTCGGTGCTACTAGGGTGTACTGCAAGCTGCGTCGACGCCGTACAAGAAACTGCGAATTTGGTGTAGGCACGCTGTCACTTGCAAAAAACAGCGAGATTCCTACGATGTCGAGCTTGAGGTGAGCATTAAAGGAGCTGTGCAACGATTTTAATGTTGAAAGAATTGGCATCTTCTACTTTTGATGTTGTTTATCTTGTCACAAAGGACAGAAAACACACCTTGTTCCTTCAAAATGTTGCGCTTTTGGCGCGTAATCGCGAGGCAAAAAATTAGAATATTTCCCGACCTGCAGCAGCGGTGACGGCCATGAGAGCCACGCGGCATGATATCAATGGGGGACTTGTAGAAAGATAGCAAGTCGTGCGAATACCTACTCGATAAAAGGTAATTTGTCTATAAATCTTGTCGTTCCAACATAAATATAAATGCATCAAAAACCTAGTATCAAGACAAAACCTTTATTATACAAAGTTTTAGTGGCACCATCTATCTGAGGTCAACAAAACTGTCAGCTCTATCTGCTACCGCGAACAGCCGCCAGAAGCCAGAGGGGGACGGGGCAGGCATGTAGCCAGGGGGGTGGCCCATGGGGCCCGCCCCCCCCCCCCCCCCCCCCTCCAAAATCTTCAATTTTGCTGGGGCCTCCTCTCCCCCCTCCCCCTCATACAACATTTTGTCATGGGCAGGCCCCCCCCCCCCCCCCCCCCCCCCCAAACAAAATCCTGGATATGTGCCTGGGATGGGGGCAGAGCCGGATGGGGATGGCCGGACCCGGATGAGACTTTCCTCCTTTCACCATATTGTTCACGCTGCGCTCGCCAGCATGTAATCACGCGGTCGCGAGTGGATGAGTTCTCATTGCTCACGATGGCTCTAGAGAGAAAGCTTCATCGGAACTCTGAGCGACCCCATTGACGTCACAGCGCACGTGACTCGGAAGATGAAGTTGAGAGGTGCCGAAAACCTCAATCTTCTTTGTCCATTTTTAAAATAAAAACGAACATGCAGGCAAAAGCAGTTTTTTGTACTTCACTTCAGAAAGGCCGAGAGACCAACTCCCAAATTATTTAAGCAAAGCACTAAAATTGTTGCACAGCTCCTGTAAGAGATACGTTAACGCGCCTTGTAAGCAAAAACACCTAAACTGCAGTCACTTTGTACAGCCAATGCGATCAGCTGATGACCAACCTCAAAAATGTGCTAAAGCAGATGCAAGTAATTGAGCGGCGACCGGCCGTCTGTTGGCCGAGCAGATCGTTCTTACTGCACACTGCTTATTGAGCTCTTGTAGCTTTTCCTGTGCATTTGCGCAGCAAGATTCTTGCCCTCTAGTGCGTTAGTGTACGTGCACGCTTGTCTTTTGAAAGAAAAGCTCTCGCTCGTGACTGCGCTTTTACTGCTGATTTCATCTTGCAAAAGATGTAGTTCAATCGGATCACTGGTTGGGCAATGTAGTGTGTTCCCATTCATAAAATTCGCATGACATGTTTAGATGAATGCCATGGCCGCTTGATAGAGTTGCAGTGCTCAGCAGAACTGGGAGGGCGAGCTTACTCAGTCTGCTGGGCGACTAGTCGTTTCCTCCACCCAACCTTGTATGGCTTTAATGGGAATCTGTATAAGTTTACTATGGGGTTAAGCCCTTCCTCTTCTTGACAGTTATTGATGCAACAGTAACGTCGATGTCAACGATAGTGTTGCGATGCAAGATAATATCCAGCTGGATACAAGATAGTATCCAGCATGAATGCAAGATACTAGCTTCCACTTATGCTGGAGGGAATATATTGCCATGGCTTGTCACTTGACTCCTCTGCCTGACATCAGTTCACCAATAGATCCTTGTGGATGTAGAAAAACACACTCTGGCAACACTATACACTCAGATTGCATATGCGTAACATTATACAAGAAAACACTATTATACCTTTGTAGTCACACTTATAGAACTAAAATATGCATGTGGAAGGACCATCAGATATGACATGGATTCTTTGGATGCTTGTAGACTACGGTTCATCGAGCTTTCCTCGATCTCAAAGGTACATGACCAAGACTGGGTGCCACAGTAACATTGGCGGCACCAGGAGCTGCAGCGGGGAGACATCTTGGGCTGTCAGGACAGGAACGGCACCAGGGGCCGCAGCACGCCGAGTTGTAGGTGCCAGACCCTAAGGTGGCACGTGGCCCAGGCTTATAGCTGAAGCCGCATTGGTGAATGTGGGGAACATGTCGTCATCAGTCACAAAGATTTATGTTGTGGACGTTATAATGTACGTGTCATTTTGGCTGCGTTCCATGTTGTTCTGTCATCTAATCTATAAGTAACTGGTTCTACTTGTTCATGTATGCGTTGCGGTGGAGCATAATTTTTGCGCATTTTCCCTCTAATGTTGGGTTTGAACACACTGATTGACCAGGAGCAAAAGCAGGTGCTTCACTGCTCGCCCGGCATCTGAATATTTTTTCATCCTTGTTTGATACTCTGACTCTATCAGGAAGTCCTTCCTGAACGACATGTGGCGGGACGGCGGATTCTGGGGGCCCTAGGAGATGCAGTCGCGTTCGGTGGGTGCAACCATGTAGAAGAAAGGCTGGCGTTTCTCCAGTCGCAGGGTGGCGCGTACTTCGATAAACACCGATATATTCCGTAATGGCTTCAGAAAACGTACGACGCTGGACGAGAGCCAAGTGAATGACAGACTTAAGAACTCGATTGAATCGCTCTACCTGCCCATTAGCTTGGGGATGGTTGAGGGATGACTTCGCATGTTTGATGCCATGCATCTCAAGGAACTCACTGAAGTCCTTCGAATTGAATTATGGACGCTAGCTTGCGTTTGCCGTCGAAGATCAGAAAACTGATCTTTGAATGAACATAGCACTTTGTGTTCATTCTGTTCTTCAAACTGGGACACTAATTATCGCAAGAAAATAACTTGCCTCGCACAGCCGAGTACTGCAAGAGGTGCGAGTGAAGCTCGTTCTACTGATCCTCAAAAGTCATCGTGTGCGGTGTTTGTCGCCCTCCGTGATACGAAAAAGCGGTTTTCCAGTCCCATGCCGGTTAGTACCAGTTGGTTGTGGTTAGTACACCCTAGTATCAAACGCTCGAAATGTTGCAAAAACAACGACTGCGAAGACTGGAGCCACTAGTCTTTTGCGAAAGCGCGGGAAAACTTTGCCCACGTGATCGCAGTGTACCAATAGGGAGCGCGGATTGTCGGCGAACTCTCAGAGTGGAGTGCGGCATTTCTCGAGTCGAGTGAGCGCCGATGGCCGACCCCCGACAGGGCGCCGATTCGCGTCTATTGAAGCCCAATGGCTTTTCGAGTGGAGGGCCTCGTCCAGATCCATACTCCACTCATGTCGATCACGCCGTCATCGAGTGCGTCCAGTACGGATGCCGCATCTACGTCTGGTCCTGCTCGGCGACGTGGTCGGCCACGTAAGACTGAAGCCGAGAAGGCGGAGACGAAGGCTAGGCGTGCAGAGGCGATGCGCCAGAAACGGGCAGAAGACTCGGAATATCGTGCGAAGGAGGCAGAGGCCAAGCGGCAGAAGAGGGCCGAACATCCCGAGTATCGTGCAGCGGACATCGAAGCGAAGCGTCAGAGGCGGCGTGATTACGCCGAACTGCGTGCCCGTGAAGCCGAAGTGAGGCGACAGCAGCGACAGGACGATCCGGAGATGCGAGCCAGGGAGGCCGAAGCGAAGCGGCTGAGACGGCGAGCCGAGGCGGAGCAACGAGCACGCGAGAGACTCGGCCAGCATGTTAGTGCGACAAACGTGTTTGAGAAGCGCTTCACGCAAAATCCCTTTGGCTACTCGTGCTCTGTATGCGGCCGCCTTTGGCACAAGAACGATCTGAACCTTCTACCCGATGCCCACTCTGCAGTGGTTGTCGACGCGTTTCAGACGGACGTGTCTGGGTTAAATAAAGTGTTCTGTCATAAAAAAAAAAAAAAAAAAAAAAAAAAAAATCGCTTTTGCGTTTTACGGCGTTTGCTACCGCCCGATACAAAAGCTGTAGCCAATACAATCTCTATCGAACAGCTGCGACAATATCACCTCAATGGCGTAGTTGATGTGATAGGGCAAACCATGTATCGAATGGCGGGTATTTAAGGTGAAAAGTAATTGTGCTACCAGTAACATCCGGCACATTCACTCTGAAGAAAATCGCCAACATTCACACTTCATTTTGTGAATGTTGCTGATACAGGGGGTATTCGCGACTCCAGCGACCTATAGGGGGCGCCCCCACCAAACAAACATGGCGGCTGAGTCCAGGTCGCGGCGGCTCGGCCGGGCCGCCTCAACAGGTGGCGCGTTCAATTTAACAGATTTTCTTTTGTTTAATGCCCAATTTTATAGGTATTTGAACTGAGACGGTTAAGTGTAGCCGGTGCAGATAAACTTGCAAAGCATAGTTTTGTTTTGCCGGTGTTTTTTTCTTCTTTTCGTGTCAAACTTTCGTTTCGGAGATTTCGTTCAAAACCGAAACTATGGGCTCCGGAGAGACGGTAATATACTAATCAGTTTTGATCATCTAAGGAAAGCGGCGATGACTATAGAATTGTTCCACAGAGAGTAACTTTACAGCTAACTCGCATGCCTCGACCATGCGACTTATCTGTCCGCGAAATCGAGCTTTTGTGCGTATCCGCGTTTACAAAACAGCTCCAGTCTGCTCGGCCAACAACACAGGCTGCAGGAAAATTACGAAAATTAAGCAACCGCTTCTTGATCCAAGGACCATGTTAATCCGCCGGCGCCCCACTAAGCAGCTGATACTCGCATTTCAATTCAGGTTTTAGTAGCAATCGAGAAGTAATTTGACGAGCGGGTTATGTATTATATTACGTACTATGTCCCACTAAAGCGATATTAGTATATTCTTCGGGTTGAAATATGAGCTTAGTTGACTAGCTATAAGGTGATCTGCTGGATAAAAGTATAGTTAACAGAAAGAGAGATACTACCTAAACTCAGCCATATAGTTTTAGCCGGCAGCACGAAGACAAACTGAAGAGAGTTCATCGGAAATTCACGCAGAACCTCTCTGCATTGAACTTTGCTTCGAATCCTGAACGGAGAAAATGAGTATTTTTTGTGGCCGGTCAACTTGAGCATTGTAAACGGATATTGCTGCTGGCTTTGACGGGGGTATAATATAAATATTGGGAGGCGCAATAGATCAAAATGCCGTGACAGCTTCTAACGTCGCGAAACTCGTCCCCCACCTTTTGAAAACGGATAATTTCCCTCATTAATCGTATGCAGCGAGCAGGTTTTCCCGAATCAAGTAATTGCGAAATCAGCCCAACTCCTTCAGTGTGGTCCAGAGGCTTTTTCGGCGAAAAGCAGTCAAGATGAATAGCCAACGCACAGACCGGCGTGGGTGGCTCAAACTTGAAGCCAACCGAACGCAACCAAACTCAAGAAAAACAGCTATCGAACCTTCCCATTCATTTGACTGCAGCATTGGTGTTTCCTCCAGTATCAGTTACCAAGCAGTCGTCACTTTGAATGTGATTCGAGACAGACAAGAAATCAAAAAGTTTTTCCGTGATTCCTCCCCATCCAAGAAATCGAAAGCACGCGACCGTGTGCTGTGGAGTAAACGGGCTTTCAAACACGTAATAGAAGAAAACAATCTACTGAGGCTTCACCACACTAATTATCACTCAGGCAAACTTAAGAAATATTCGGACCTTCTTCAAATTACATCGTTCGCCACCGCGCCGACAACACGTCTCCGCGAAAGCCATCAGAGACGCGGAGGGGCGCGGAGCGACCTGGACCGGCTGGTTCCCGGTTTTCCCGCTTGGCGGCGTCCGTTTTGCTGGAGTCGCGAATAAGGCAGTGCTGTCCGTACTGAAACAAAATAGTGCCAACACAAAGATGGAAAGTACGGGACAGGACAGAGTGAATAGCGCAAACACAAAGCAGGGACGGGACAGGACAGAGTGAGTTAGTGCTCTGTACTTCTCATATTTGTGTTTGTGCTATTTTATCTCAATATGTACCTTGAATACCAACTATCCCAGCTATCAACCTTATTGTAGGTGCTGTCATTTGAGCATGTTGATGTCTCTGGCATGGTTGCGCACACACAAAACCGGAGACCGGAGATATAGTCGACCATCATAGGAATCCCAGGCAACTTTAGTAACGGCCTGTTTTGAGACTTGAAACAAAGGAAACACAAATGGATGATGACGATAGTCTGGAGCAGACGTCATAATTGAGCAAATAACTTCCAGAAATCGAGAATGTTTGCATGAACCCAAATTGTAGAAACGTTCACTGGTAATTTTTTGTCGGAGTTCAACACAGTTTAGTGTATCCATGCATCACATTGCACAGTTAATTCTTAGCATTGAAAACATGATAGCTAAAACATTGCTGAGTGCTATGAAGCGACTGACACTGTCCTTTCATCAATTTTTTTTCTCTATAGGACATAACCGTGGAAGGTCTTCAGCGGATAGACGCCTCCAATTTTTCGTGGCAGGACAAATTTCTCCATCCAGAATTGCCAGGTGACCTCCCCTTAACATACGGTGAGAGGAGTCCAGACTTAGTCATAAGTAATAAGAGTAATAACTGCATCAGAGTGGATAAATGGGCCAGTTGGCTCATATGGCTGATTGGAAAGAGTGTCAAAAAAGGCGGGGACCATAGACAAATTGAACAAGACAAGGCACACTTGCAACTGACTCATAAATGACTACCGTAATATCCCGAGATATAGCCCGCCTAAAATTGAGAGCAAATCAAGTAAAAATGAGGCGTAGGCTAACTTTCGGTGTGCAGTCAAGAAATGTTGCAAAAATGCTATTTCTAGATCATGTGTCTCTGCCAAACATGTTGTCGCGGCGAGAGGCAATGAAGCAAAAATGGCTGTACTTCCCAGTCAGCAATGTTCGCGTATATCCCGCCATAGCTAATTAGACATATTTATGCCAAGGTTATCATTGATCCGAACTTTACTATTACTAGGAGTGGGCTATCTTTCGGTGTTTAAAAGAAAATAACAATTCAAGTTAAAAATAGGGGTGGGTTACCTTCCAGGGGTGGGGCATATCTCGGGATTTAAGGTGGGTACTTTCTAGATGGCTCATATTTATATTTTTTAGTAAACTTAAGTTGTGATGCACCTTGTTGTGTTCTACTTGTCTGTGGTCCCCGTGTTTTTCGTTGCCTTTTCCAGTCAGTAAGAACCAGTCATAAGAATGTTGCACAGCACGACATATGTCTGGAAAGGAATGTAGTCCAGTGCAGCATGACTGCTAGCTTGGAGTCTTTAACTTGCACCCTGCTGTAGCAACCACAGAAAAAAATTACCACAAAATGTTTTTTGATGTTGAAACTGGCAGCATCTGTGCTTGAACTCACAATCTCTAGAAAAATTAAATTCTACACAAATATGGTAACAAGTGGTGTTTGAGCCAAAGAATGTCAGCAAGAACTGATGCTGTTAAATGTTGCAAACTTTGTTTTTCATTGTGTTAATTCAGATTTACTTGCATATTTTTGTGCTTATAAGGACGTTGTTTGCAAACGGAGTTATCGAGACAGACACTCTTTTTTTCTCCGAGAAAAGATAGCAAAAACAATAAGTTAAAGATAATTAATGTTTTAAAGGAAGTCAAAGTTTTTGGAAGAATTTGTCCTGTCCGTGCAAGGTCTAGTTTGCTGTGGGATGCGTGCTGCATCTCTATCCATGCATTATTTTTTTACAGCGGCATATTAACACATTATTACGCCACTGTAAGAAAATAATTTATGGATAGTGATCCAGCTCGACACTTGAACAGGCATTGCAGTTTCAGGGGGGGGGGGGGGATGGAATGAGAAGACAGGATTCCAAATAAAGGCAATAACACTAAAACAGAGTATGAAAAGCGACGCTGGCAAGCCTCATTGACAAAAGTTCCTGGAAATCCAAACAAAATATATTGAAATTTAACACATGTGCGGGCAGCATCACACCTATTTATTAATCTGCCTTTCCATTAAATTCATAATTTAAAATTCTGTGAAGTGCATGGACTGTGGTAATGTTACACAATATTTAGAAAAAATATTCCGAAGCCACTTCTGTTTACACACGTTTCAGAGGGTCAGAATTATATTGTTGACGCATACAGCATGCTCATTGTACCATAGACTCATTGAGGCAGAAGTTAACAAAGTTCATCCGCGACCCAGGCGAACAAAAACACCGGTTGGTGGCGCTTTGTGTTTAGGTGTTAGGGTGAAGAGGGTCACAATGGTGCGCTGCTGGCACATTTTTGGTCACCGGTTCCACCGGCAAGGGCTCGCCAGCAATTGACCACCAGAATTCGCCTTAAGATATTCTTGATAGCCTTGAGGCTTTATATATTTTTTATGGTGTGTGTTCCCTAACAGATGTGGAGGACTTAGAAGCAGGAGGTTACATCTACAAAGATGCTGTCACCATCAGCCAAGCTGAATACACCAGCCTGCGTCGCCGTCTGTATCAGGCTGAACAGGCTATTGAAAAAATGAGGTGCGTAACAATCTTATAAAAAAAAAGTATGGAACAAACTCAACACACCGTACGAAACATTAATTTGATTTCAGAATTAGTTGTGTTTGCAAAACCAAATCAATCAGTGTCTGTGCAAAGTGTTCCTTGAGAAGATCACATGGCACTCACATGGCATGGAATTAGCTTTGATGGTTCGTAGTTTCCTCTGGAATCCATTGTAAGGTGAAACAAAGTATAGTTTGGTGCTTTCGCACAAACTTCGAAATGGATCCGGTATATTTGGAGCTGCATACAAAATTGCCTAACAAACTGCAGTATTTTCTACTTGGTAGGCTTTTTCAGAAGAAAACATAATCAATCCAGGGGTAACCTGGTTTGCAGATGTCCTTAAAACCGGCCCTCCCACAGCCCCATCTCCACTCCGCAGTTTCGTCATCCTCTGGGTAGTGCAGCATGAGGCGAAGGCCATGCGTTTTGGCATTTGCGTTTCATTCCATTCCGATAGTACTGCGTGTCCCCTGAAAGCATTTGCCGAGTTTCTTTTACCACAAAAATAAACCATGCATTGTGGAACGCTCAGTTTCCACCCAAATGTAGCACGGGTGGTCCGGACCAGATGCCAAGGTGTCGGAATTAACGGTCGTCTTATTAGAAAGTTAAAAGGGATTTTCTGAAACTTTAACGGGAAAATGGGGTTTGTCCTCAGTAGCCCATCTCAATATATTTGGGAGCTTCGTCAGCGGCCATTTCCCCATTAAAAATTTGCAGAAAGATAGCTTATAACTTTTGAGCCGGACAATGGCAAGCTCTAAAACTTTGGTGTCCGGTCCTGACAGCTAGCGCTATGCTTGTGCAAAGATTGAGCGTTTGGTGATGCATAGCTTCTTTTCTTTTCGCAATTCAAAAGACTACTTTTTTTTTTTCTCTCTTTCTTTTTTTTTTTTTTTGGGGGGGGGGGGCACTTTGTGCTATAGGGTCCTTAAAATATTATGCCCTCTTACGGTCGATCTGAAAATACTCCACATTGGGGTGTTAACAAAACACCAACAAGCTGGCAAGTCTATAACTGGTATAATACTCGCTTCCAAAAGGCTGTATACAGTCGACAGACTTGCCATTTTTATGGTGTCTTTTGCGCATGCCATTGTGCAGTATTTTCAGATCGACCAAAAGAGGGCGTAATTTTTTAAAGATGATATTGCGCATAACTGCCAAGTTTCCCGTATTACCCAAGAGACTCCCGAATTCGTTGACCATTTCGTACAGTTCTACGATTGACAAGAAAATCTCCCGAAAAACGCAAATTACCCCCCCCCCCCCCCTTTCCCCGCACCTAAACAAGGGGTTTTTGCCATCACAGCAGGTGGCTGCAATGATGGCGAGGCCTACCGGTATCTCGCTAGCATGAGCAGTGCAATATGAATGTAATGAAGTTATCTTCTTGTAAATTTATTATCAATATTTATTTTTAAGAAAGCATTGTTTTTGTTGCCACTGCTCGCATCTGTTCTCGTTGATCCCGTCCAATTTCGCCGACCAATGCCAGGTGATACCAAATTCCGGCATCGCTCACAGAGCACTTTCCGGTGATTATATTTTTATTTTCAGACATATTTTCATATTAAATATCTTCTGGGCTGTCTGATTATATCGCTGTAACCGATATGCCAAGGGTAATCATGTCGCTATATCCGTCTTATTTTTCATGACCCATGCTAACATTAATGGTTTAAAAAAAAGTGGTCGTTATAGCAATATATCATAGTAAATGGATTGCACTGAATAAAGTGTATTATTGCATATAATTGTAAAAGTGCTTAATTGTATTATTTTGTTCAATTTATATTTGTTAAAAAATATATTCAGCAACGTGATTATTTTTTTTTTCTTTTGTGCCGGTGAATTGTACAGGAGAATGGGACCCATACTCCGTTTTAAGCTTAGACAAGAAGCTCTGCCTTCAGAGCGAGTTTTCTGCCCTTGCTAACACAAGTATGAACGCGCGGGCACGCGCAACCAAAGCCTCAGCTTAAGGGTGAACGGAGTATGGTCGGGCGACGTGAGTCGCCTTTTGCCCTGGGCTCCTAGATGCGTGTCCGAATAAAGTGATTTTTGATTAATTTTGACCAGGACACACTTAAATTTTTTTAATACATTGGATGTTTGCCACGCAGGCAGACTGGCAAAATCTTTCTGCAAGAAGGCGCTGTGTCGGCTGCATCGGGCGCCACATTTCCGACAGGGGGGCTCTGGGCAGACAAGGGCTCGGCATATTTTGAGTCGAACGCGCGTCACGGGATCCACCAGGAGATGCTGCAGGACGCGCTAAGGACCGAGGCATACCGTAAAGCGCTGGAGGCGAACGCTGAAACGTCGGTCAAGGGTCGGGTGGTGCTGGACGTCGGCTGTGGCACGGCCATCCTGTCCATGTTTGCGGCGCGGTGCGGGGCCAGCAGGGTGATCGGCATTGACCAGTCGGACATCGTCTTCCAGGCCATGGACATCATCAGGTGTGGGCTAGACTTTTATGACCTGTTGACCGCTTAACATTCCCTAAAAAAGCCAAGAAAGGACTTGTCAGAAAGCGTAGGTATGAGGACACTTACGTCACAAAAATAACGTTTTCCGTAAAACATAAATTTATGGTTCAATCTCTTTGTTGAAAGAATCATTTCAGCCATTTGAGAACATGATCCCATTTCGGCGTTGACGTCTCGACATAGGAGCACGTTTCAGAATTAAAGTGCCTCTGAAAAGAAAAAAAAAAAGTTTCTTTGAGGAGTCTAATTAGGACACGCATGTCGTAAAATAAAATTTATGCAAATATATATATATATATATATATATATATATATATATATTTTTTTTTTATGTTTATGGCGTCACGAAATGGTCGTTCACTCTTTCGACCTCAACGAGATGGTCATTTGCTCTTTCCACTTCAACGGGAAGGCGAAGCCGATCCACCTCTCCTTCGCGCTCCCGAAATGCCGAGAGAGAAAACATGTGGAAAGGAGGTGACTACCAACCAAATCGTGTCTTGCGCCGTCAATATTTCTCTAAAACAAAATCTTTTCTGCATAAAATTTATTTTTTGACATGTGTGTCCCAACCAAATTGAATTCTTTTTTTTTTTCTTTGAGGGGTTAAAGAGCTTTAGAACAGATTTGAATCGGTCCCATCCTATGCGTCTCTACGGGAAGGAACTCCCGGTACTTCAAACTTTGCTTTATTCAAACAAATTCTCGGTCCCCCTCGAGTTTGAATTAATGAGAATCGACTGTATTGCACAAAGATTTTTATGGGGGCCAGTTTTGTGATGTAAAAGCATTAACTGTCTCATGGAGTGAAAGAGCCATACAGCTCTTTTACTCTGCTTCGATCCCATTGGCTAGCGCACGTCCACAGCCAACGGCACCTTTTACATCGCTGCGATCCCATTGGTTAGCCCGCGTTGACCAGGCACCCATTCGCTGGACACGCAGTGCCATGGGGTGGCCGATCATTGAAACTGACGCACAGCGTCAGTTTCAACCACCGGCCACCTTATGGCGCTGCGTGTTCGTTAGCACCAGTCAGCGTTCCAACAGCGAAAGTCGAAAGCCTGTCTTGTACGTTTGTCTTCAATGTCCCTCTTTTCTTATCATAAATTAGGAACCACGCTCAACCATCTACAGCAAGATTAACATGCTTTCGCATTCAGAGGTGCCTAAATAAAACTCAACTTTTTTTTTTTCAATTTTTTTTTTTGTGATACACATGTCTTATTTTGACGCTTAAACAGATTTCTTTGGGGAGAAGAAGTAGTTCACTGGCCATCTTGCTGCGACGTTATCCATTCGGAGCACAAAACAGTGGTGCTTACTCAAAAATAAAATGAATCTGCAATAGGAATCCCAGAAAACTGCTAGAAACCTCTCAATTTTAGGCACAGGGCCTGAAATTTAGAGATTCTAAACCTTATATGTTAGGTAAGGTAAGTGTTCCATTTTAAATTATGTGCAAGGTAATTTTGAGAATTCCTGGTGTAGTCCATTCAGTGTTGCAGTGGAAGCTTTGCATCCAAACTGGTAGCTCTGAAGGAAAATTCAGCCGTATGTATGCTCTCCAGCAGGTCCATACGATTTGAGTGGGTAACCTCGTTTTCCGCATGTGCCCTCTTGGCAGGGAGAACAAGCTGCATGGCACGGTGACCCTGCTGAAAGGTCGCCTTGAGGACATTGACCTGCCCATGGAGCGAGTGGACGTCATAATTTCGCAGTGGATGGGGTACTTTCTGCTGTTCGAAGGGATGCTGGACACTGTACTGCACGCACGAGACCACCACTTAAAACCAGGAGGTACTCTCCTACCCAGCCGGTGCGACCTGTTCCTCGTGCCACTCTGCGACAAAGGTGCCTACCCTCCATTCTTATCACACCTCTCCCCCCCCCCCCTTCCCTTCCTCAAAAAAAGAAAATCCTTTGTATCCCTGTTGGTGCAAAATATTAAAAATATTAATGTTTAAATTAGTTTGTGAGCTCTGACGAACATGTTCTTACCTCGTATTGTTCTCGAGCCTGTTCACTTGCTCAGACCGGGGTTTGGGTTGCCATTATTGTCTGGCAGCATTGCACCAGCGCCACATAGGATTCTGGGGGGACGTGTGTGGCTTCAAGATGAGCTGCCTCAAAAAGGAAGTGGCCAGGGAGGCTCACATCATGCTGGTCGGCCCCGAGAGCGTCTGCTCCGTTCAGCCAGCCCTGGTCAAGGTGATTATTTTTAGAGCGCAGCTCTTAGGCGCCCGCTTCTAACTTGAGCGGCGTCGGCATCGCCGTTGGCATAACTGTAAGGTCACGTGACCCCCCCAGGTCACGTTAACCCCCCAGGTCACGTGACCCTCCCAGGTCATGTGACCCCCCCAGGTCACACGACCCCTCAGCACCGTTCCCCTCAGTACACTTCCCTCCTCCTCCTCAAAAGCTGCGCTTCGATTCGGCGTTACAGGGAGTTGTAAACGGCCTTCATTTTTTTGTTTGCAGTCAAGTTCTGGCCTTGTGTAATTCTTTTTTTTATAGTGTATTTACCATATTTTCTATACTATTTCTCACATCCTATACATGTCTAAAAGTTGAAATTGTACGCAGTGCAGACGTTTTACCGGTGCAGACTATACAAGGATTTGATTTTCAAGATTGTTTAGATTGTTCATTATGATGAGATGTGAATGAGATTTTGTGAATGAGAGATTATGATCATTTCTGTATGACACAAGCTTCTTTGTGAGTTAAGAAGGTGGGCATTTTTAAGGTGTATTGTTTAGGAGAATTGCTTTAGTGTGGAATGTACACCAGGTTCAGGCTTTGCAGGGGATGTGGACCATGGTCTGGGAAAATATTGTATATTTGTTTGTTTCCCTGCCCATTTTCATGACACCAGGTTAAAATACACCCTGGCATGACTGCATCGACGAGTGTGGCAGGAGTGTCCTGGTTTCAACCATTCCCTTTAACCAAAACAAGTACAAGTGTTTGTAATCCTTTAGAGTGCAAAACATTTTTTTTCAAATATTAGTTTATTAGTTGTGACAAATGCGTTGGTACATTACCGTAGTCGAATATTAGAAATACAAAACACAGAGGGTCAAGAGTGTATGATATACAGATTCCATTTCTATATTTATTTTATTATTTTGAAAGTAAATTTTTGATTGCATGCATTCTTGCAGGTATTGAACTTCGTGGTATTTAATTTAGGATAATAAAGTACAACCCTTGATGTTGAAATTGGCGAGAATATACCATTTTTCCTTTCAATTTTTTCCCAAGATTTTCATAGACACATACCTAAATCTTTGTTTTCCTGCCTAACCACCACCCCCACGAAAGAAATTTTTTAAAAATTAGAAACACACGAGCTAGAAATCTTACTGGTTTTGCATAGTCAGAATTCACATTTGCTGGTGATTATTATCTGTGGATATCTCAATTATGTGTCGATAAGAACTTGGACGGCTGAATTCTATGCATAAATCAGCTCTCTTTGCAACATGGTCTTCTGGTCCCTTGTGAGACTTTAGCCGGTGGTTGCGGCCGCACCAGGAGTCTAGAGGCAGTAAAACATCTCTTATTTCTATGTGCCTGTCGTTTAAAGACGGAGCGTGGCTTCCATAAAGACAAAACGGCGAATAAATGCCCCCTTTGTTTGGGGTATCAGAGTATACGGCAGTTCTATCATGTTAATTTCCTGCACCTCATTCTCGAAGATAAGACTAGCGGCAATCTGTAGGCGTTTGTCAGCACGTACCTTGGACATCGGAAAGCCCCATGTCAAATGTGGGACAGTACACACTCTATTTGGAACACTGCACTTCGTTTGAGGGTAACCTCAAACAAAGTATATCAGTGTGACGGAGGCGAAGCGCGTGGCTGCCCTCACTTAAGGTACAGGGGCGAGAGCGTAATCCAACGAGTCGAAGAAAAGGGGACGGAGGAACTCCCCTCTTACCTAACCCTCTTTCGTGAATTCTGGACCTCTCTTTTCTCCCCCTCCAGCCCGTGGTCTTTTTGGCAGTGCTGTGTGCAAGTAGTGAGGTGGGGCATAGCAGTGATGTGATTGCTGCGCCATTTGCACCCAACTGCATCAAAGCACTTACACGGCTACATCGCGCTACATTTTGCCAAAATGTGAGGAATTATCGTCAACATTGCGCCAAAACTTAATTTGAATTTATTAGAACTGAAAATTTAATAAATCAGGCCCTGCTACATGGCTGGATCGTTACGGTATAGGCTGGTGAAAATTCCCAAAGCTTTCGCTTATCGCCTTAAATAACATCATATTCAAACTGATCTCTGTAACAGGTATTGACAGTACTTGGAAGTTCTTGGAAGTTTCCCAGTATTCCTCATGCTTGTCTCTTCTGACTGGATAGCTAGCATCGTTGAGTGTGCTAGTCACTGCGTAGTAGGCGTGGGAGTTTTGTATATCTTGCTTTGCTGCAGTGCACTTGCATGGTAAGGGGAAAGCACTCCCCAAAAACCAAAAGTTATATACTACTTTTAAAAAAACAAAAAATGAAATTTGCAGCGAGTATATATGATAGCGATATTCTGATGATATCTTTTTTCACATTCAAAATTCATCAAGGATACTTGAGTGTTGCAAAAATTTTTTATGAACTGCACTATATATTTGTTTTTTAATGACAATTCTCGTGCAGTTATTATGTGCATCTGCGCGATGGCACAATGAATACAGAACATTAAATATAAATGAGCTGGGAATAACCTGAAAGTCTCTGTAACAGATATTTTAATTTTTTAATTTTTTTTTAAATAATGAAACATACCTTATTTACACGAATGTAGGTCGACTCATTTAAAAAAATTTGAAAAATCTGAAGCGGGGGGGGGGGGGGGGGGGGGGTCGACTTATAATTGAACCAAAGCATTCCACTGTCGGCAAAAAAGGAAACAATGGCAATATCAAAAACATGTTGACATGTAATGAGTTCAGCCGGCTGTACCTGTTGCATTGCGCCGTTCCATGCGCTCAATTTACAAGCTCTAACATTTTAGACGAATCCCCGAGACTGGGGGGAAAAAGGACAACACAACACAAAGTCTCAAACACAGCTGAAATTTATTGGACAGAATATCGTGGTTTAATAGGGTACAGGTGCCTGGAAGAACCAAAAGGAACAAAAAGGGAGAGGATGGACTTCTTTTTCCCGAACACAGAAGAGGGGGAGGACATTGGCCAGAAGCACACCGGTACTGTTCTAACTCAAGCAAAAGGGGGGAAGGGGAAGATCTCTTAACCCACCTCGGTGAGGTCCTGATATACATCACAAAAGAAAGGGCTGTGGGATGGTGACCCATTAGGGGAAAGATCAAACATGGATAAAGGCGAACAACCCCCGACATTAGTCACACCTGAAGCAAAGGGGCAGGAGTGAAACTTAAACCCAAACAAACATCCTACACAGATATAATGGTGACCTCCAAACAATCAAATTTGTAGAAATCTTTTCAACTTCGTGTCCAAATTAAATGTAGGATGAAGGCAGAAGGCATCGAGTTTGCACTCGAGGCTGGGCTTTTGAATGAGACGTCCTGCCGTTCTCGTGTGTTCACCATAAAACGCGCCCCTAAAGATTTTATTTTTTGCTGATGTGCAATGGGGGGGGGGGGGGGGGTCGACTTGTAAATATGGTATTTATCGTTTACATGCTGATTTCTGTCATCACAAAGTTCTGCTTATGAAATGTCATTGATGTGCATAATCAAATGACAAAAGCTTCGTATTATATTGAAATTAAGAACTGCAGTTTAGTTAGAACCTTGCAGTTTAGCTAGAAAAAACATCAATTTGGGTACTCGAAGTTATTATATTTTAGAGCTGTTGCAGCACACTTTATTGTTCGGTTTACGTTTGATTTCGTACCTAAAATAACCATGCACAGCAGATTCTGCTGGCCTTCATCAATCAACATCTTGTTACTGTAGCCTGTAGTTCTATGCGCAATTAAATAGCTAGCTAGCGAATGAAACCTGCCATGCTGCTGACGCCATCAGAAGGTTGCCTAGAAGCAGGAAGGCAAGATAGATGTAAACATATAAATCTTAACATGATATTCGCGCTGGTATTAATAAAAACAAAATATGTGCTTATACTCCAAAATCACTTTTTGCAGCTCCAAAATGGGCATTTGGCTCCTCCAAGAGGTGCTCCAAAATCACTCAAACCGAACACATCACTGGTATAGTCGCGCACTGATTGACTCCGCAGGACTGTGGCCCTCGCCGTTTGCCAAGTCACAGCAAGACGGAGCATGGTAGAAGTGAAGAGCGATTGCTGAATCGGTGCACAAAGGAAATGAGCGCTTATTTTTGCATGTGGACTGACACCTTTCATACTTCATTTCATGTAGGGCCTTTCTTTGTCATAAGAAACAACATAAACAACTGTTTGTTTTTTTAATTCGGATTTTGTTCGCTCTACAGTCAAACCACGGGGGGTTTGCTATTAATCGTCGAAATGTACTCGTCATTCAAAATTCTCCGGCTACAGTAGAGAAATGTGAGCTATTGTATTTACTCGAGTAATAGCCGCACTATTTATGAACAAGGCCCTTACGTCTACTTTCTCATAACACGTATACAGCCAATCATTGCATTGCACATAAATAACATAGCGAATAACCAGATAGAGAGCACGATTCTGCATACAAATGCAATCTTCACGGACGGCATCTTTGTGCGAAGATGTTATCTCTATCCTGTAAACAGCTGAAACCATGTTGTCGATCGCGGTGATTGGAAATCTGCATGCTCCGCGGAAATGCGAACCCTCAGGTTTTCTTCATAAACAGTGCGGCTATTACTCGAGTAAATACGGTGATCTGTAGATGGAAGGTATCATGCCAGTCTGGTTAATGTAGTGGACATCGACTTTTCGTGTTTCTTGTGCTTGCCTCGTTTACGGTGATGTTTATGCGCTGACATTTCGTCACCTTTCTGTTAACGTTTTTAGAGCCTGGACCTCAACACATGCAGCGTGGCAGACATCAACTTCACATCAGACTTTGAGTTCGAGGTGGCGCCAGTGGCCGACGAGATCACCGCATTTGCCGGCTACTTCGACAGTGCCTTCGAGTTGCCAGTGCCTGTAAGAATCGGGACGTTTCCACACAGATAGCCGAATGCTGTTCCAAGATATGACTGAGAAGAGGAGTATTCCATGGTGCATAATACCAGGACACTATACTGGACGAGCGCGAGATTTAAAAGAATCCGACATGACTAAGTGCACTAAAATTGCAGTTCGCTGCCGGGCAGTCACGTGGGACTTTTCAAAATCTTGCGCACTTTCTTCGACTCTAAGAAAAGACTTGGACGCATGAAGGTTACCTCGACGAAAACAACACAAGGGGATATTTTTCAACATGCACTACAACTTTTGTGTTGGAGGTTTAGAGCAGAAAGTAATATTGGAAAAGTTTGCTAATTATTCTGCGTTAATTAGCCAGTTTTACTCAGGGCAGAAAATATCTTTACTTGCTAAATAGTACTTGGAACAATTCTGCTTTGGTTGGACACGTAGCTTGCTGCAGCTTTTTTAAGCTTTGACTTAAGTTAGCTGAAACGCCCTGTATATGCATGCCTACAGCCTCTGTCCGTGTGTTAATTTGTTCCGCCATATCCCAAGACATGGCCCACCAAAAATTGAAAGCAAATCGGGTGAAAATAAAGGAAAGGCTAACTTTCAGTGTAGGAAAAAGAATTTAAAAAAATTCAAGCTTTAGATTTTGTGACCTGCAAAACTTGTAATTGCAGGGAGTGGCAATGAACCAAGGATGACTGTCCTTCTGAGTCGGAAATGTTTGCCTATCTCCCGCCGTGGCTAAGTAACACCATTTCTGCCGAGGTCACCATTGGCCAGGGCCCTGCAATTAGTAAAAGTAAACTATGTATCTTTTTTTTTTTTTTTTTGTTTTAAATAGCAAGTTCTGTCAAAAGTAGGGGACGGGCTATCTTTCTTGGGTGGAGCATCTCTTTAGATATTACGATTTGCATATCTTTGTGCAGTCTATCTGCATATGCGTATATTGTTTGTGCTCTGTGCATGTATTTGTATACCCTCTGCGTGTGGGTATTTATGTGCATGCATGCTCTGAGGAGACAATAGCCTTCTCTTTTTTGTTGTACAAATGTTTGACATGAATAATGGTTACGGATTCCAGTTTCTTCAATCCTTATTTGCCTCATTTTGGGAGTCCGGTGTTTCTGGTCTTTACTCGAGGTTTGAATCAAGTGATACGATTGCTTGCAGGTCGTCCTGAGCACATCTCCGCAGGCGGAGCCCACCCATTGGAAGCAGACAGTGTTCCTGCTGGAGCAACCAATTGCAGTTAAGCCAGGTTAGTGATGCTAGGGTCACCTTGGGTTGTGCTACAATTCACCGTTTTTAAAATAACTGGTGTCACCTGTCAAAAAACAGGGTTAGAATGTTTCCAGGATGGAACAACGTGCACCCATTAGGAACAAGCTCCTTCATAATGGTGGGGAGAAGCTTTTTTGAATGAACTTGGGGGCAAAAGGTAAACCACAATAGGGATGTTGGGGGAGCTCATTCTAGGTCACTGCAGCTCAATGGAGTTAGCAGGATCTAGCTTTCTTCCTTGGTAGAGGTTTTCTTGGTTGAGTGTTCACTTGATTGTGTGCTTGTACTAGAAACTCCTGAACTGGCGACTTCTGAAAATGGTGAACAGCTGGTATGATTGTAGCTTCAAAAGGAAAGTTGCTGAGTGTTTACACTCTTTGCTAGGTTTGCACTCAGCTGCCAAGTAAGTGTTGCTACCAGGGTTCTCCCCAGAAATTTCTGAGATGTTTACATCTGACAATTTCCAGAGTTCTGGGGGATGAGTAGGGCGTGTTGTAGCTTCTGGTGTTCTCAGCAGTTTTTCTGCCGCACAGCAGTGCTTTTGTTTGCGTTGACTATGCAGTTCTGTTGCGTCTTGACACTCAAGTCTTCCAAACATAACAACCTGAGGTGTCATGCATTTCCAAAATCAGCATAATTTTGCCCAGCATAATATAGAGGTAAGCTGGACATTCATTGTAGAGATGGGCATTCAGTCAGACTGGTGAGTGGCAAAACCACCGCCGCCCACTATGGGGAGAACCCTGATCTTTACATATAAATAAATATGGTGTACAAAAATTGGGCACTTCTCAGCATGAAAGAGGACACTTAAAAACTTTTTTTTTAGTTGTTTATATGGATACTACTACTAAACTTAATTTGAGGATTATTGTAGGGTGGTTCTGTACAAGGGAGAGGCATATCTTTAGCTGCTACTGTGTTAAGCACAGCTCTTGCGAATGATAATGAGCATAAGCACATAATGCTCACTCTGGCAACAAGCAAAAATGCCTACGACATTTAAGAACAACCAGATCGGAAAATGCCTTAAAGAGTGCAATGGGCTCTCCTACTTACAAAGCCTAGGCTGGCAGATAAATGTTGTTATATATGACTGCTGTAAACTATAAGGTTTAGATTGCTTTGCACTCTAAATGCTAGGCAGTGCAGTTCTCGCTTGCCGCTTTTTTCTCACGGGTGATTGGTTGATTGATTGATTGACAGATTGAAAGTGTCTTATCTTACAGGTGAGAAGATTACGGGAAAGCTGGACTGCAGGAGAGATGCGAGGAGACGGCGTGAATTGCTCGTGGCCATTACACTCCGAGACCAGACCTACCAGTACTGCATCAGCTGACACTTTGGATACATAACATTTGTGATAAAGTAAAAACAAAATGTATAGGAAGGTTTTATATGGTTTTCACTCACTATCGTGTAGATAAGATGCTAGATGGATCTAAGTAGAGTCACTGTGTGGGTTCCCAGAGTAACGAGACTCCGTAGATTCGTTTTAGAACCGCAGTGCGGCATGGGAACAAAAACCATGGCACCACCGATCTTGGGTCCACGCGTCGACATGTTAGTTGGACGCAAGATGGTGGCGATTAGAGCCGCTTGAAGCGCTGATGGAGGTGAGTCTGGCGGTGCTTGTGTCACGTAATTGCTACCGTCCATTGATGCTCGTCAAGCCAAAACATGATCGGCGAGAGTGCGTATATTGTCGGCGTTGTCGGCAAAACGCGAAAAGGAATGCATTACTCTAGGAACCCACGCAGTGACTCAAGATCTAACCCACTGTAGAAAAACTGTGAAAATAAGGTTTTCATACAACGCTGTAATTTACCATGAATGTGAAGCTAAGGGGTGGCTTTGTTTTTGAAAAAGTATTGAAGGAAAAACTTCTCATTCAGAAGAAGTTACAAAATGGAAACCGAATGTTCCAATGATTCAATAGAAAGTAAAACTTTTTCAAGTCCTTTTTTCCTTCAAAACCTTTCTTCGCCAGAAAAAAATTAAATATCAACGTTAAGTCTGGTAACAATGTATCTTTGACGAATCTTTAGAAAAGTTCGGCAAAAGTTAGACTTTGCCGAATCTTGAGATTCAGTGCTGAATTTTCGATTCGGCAAAAGTTCGGCTTATCACTAGTAGTATTGCAGACAATCGACTGTAGGTTGGAAAGTTTGCCGCCGATTTCCCTCCAACAAAAGCACTCCCGGCTTGAAGTCGGGCAGCACTATGCACTGGCCACATTCGCACCAAGTAAAGAAATCGTACACGTGCATATTCAACTCGAAGCATGCACTTTGTGCTTGGCGTCTGTGCGAGTGATGTCTTTAGCCACGAGAAGGGGGCGATGGGTCGGCGACGTCTTCGTGCAAATCGGCTTTATGGCCGGGCGTGTCGTATGGGATGAATACCAATTCTTTTGATCGGCCCAAAATTTCTCTTCCAAACGAAGACAGAATTTGCCAATACTGCAAACGAAAGTTCTGAAGTAGGGGTGCCACGCCCGTCGTCCGCTGCCATCGCCGTCCAGCTCGATATGCAAAACGACGTCATGTTGAGAGTTACGCAGTGAACGCACAGAATGCTTCCGGTTCTTACTTCTTTTTTTTCAATCAACGTGTTTGCAGACTTTTAGAGGACACAATAAATGAATTTAATTTTTTAATTTTTTTTTATTTTTGATATTGAGTGTGTGCCTTCAATGACCCACGACTTTCATTAAATTTGGTGGTTGTGTCTAAACCTTAGAAAACGGCCCGTGACCACGGAGAAGAGAGTGAGCGCGACTCAAACCGACCAATTCTCGATCGGCGGTTTCGGGGCAGAAAGAAACCGAATTTTGAGCTGAAAATTCTGCTCTGGGTAGTTGGGCTCTCATATGTCACTACAACTAAAAACCTCGGCGAGCTGAGGCCCAATGACGGCCATCTTGAAGCTTAAAATTTGACCCCTAGATGGCGACACCAATTCGTGTGACCTAGAGTTCCTGTATATGCTACCTACGGAGCATATCGCCTAGGCCGCCGCCATGTTGCTGATGCTGATGCGACTGGTGCGACTCTCGCGCCCTCTATCAGCTAGAAATTTTCCGCCACTCTCTGGGACTGTGAAGACCACTGGTGAAGACCCGCTCAGCGCGGTTCTTTACCTACGTTTTTGCGATTTTGCATTCGACGTTTTCTCGTCCCTGTTGAAAGTTTCCACTTAATTTTTTTTTATGCGTGCTGCGTACCCTTTTTGTGTTGTCTTCCGCTGTGAGAAATAGGGCTGGTAGGTGCCTGCCATTCAAGCTTTTCTGCCCGACATACACGGGAAACGAAGGAGGTGAAGGGTGTCGAACGACCCTCGACGCGATTTGCGATCATTGTTCTCCCCCCTCCCAGAGATAATCCGCGTAGAATCCTCAGTCATCTCCAAAAATAGTTGTCCGGGTTGGGGTGAGAAACGGGTCAGTCGCGTTTGTTTCTTTGCCTTGGTGCGGTTGTGAGAAAAGGGAGCTCTCCCCAAAACGTGCCCCAAAACGAAGTAATAGGGAGTTTTAGCGAGTCGTTTTTCAAGCACACGGTTCCGAAATCACGAACGGTACAGCTGGTCCGTTCCGTGAAACCGTACCTCAAATTTGACATACTTTAGCGAATCGTGAAAGTGGCACGACCGTGTAAACGATGATGATGATTGGGCTTAACGGTGGCGCCATCTTCTAGTAAACATGTGAAACATTCTGCAACGTGCAAATCCGTGGCGGCTCGCGTTTCCGGCGTACGACTGATGTAAACAAGACGTGCGAAGTAACATTTGCCGGTCGGAATTTCAAGAACTGCGAAGCTAGATCGAGTAAAAAGTGTCTGAACGACCGTAAAGGTATGTTTTGTGTCTCCGTCATCTTGAACTTGGACGATCATTCACGTTGTGTGCCGTCAAACCAAATCATTTCGTCTGCTCGCGGTCGCCACGGCAGCTAGTCTGCCCGCAGATCGCAAAAATTTACTAGCATGCACAGTTTACAACATCCACGATCGCTTACCATTGTAAGCAGTCCTCGAAATGATTTGGTTCAACCTCTGAAATGAAGCAGACGAACAGGACGGCCCAAATCGCCTCCCTCTGTCCTAAGCCTAACGCTCGGCTCGGTCGGCGAAGGCGGTCGCCGAACCGACCGCCATCTTTTTTTTTTACCCGAGTCGTGAACGGTGCTGGCTGCGTTGCGGTGACGACTCCAGCGGCTGGAATGGGAGAAACGAACGAGAAGAGCCTCCCGACTCCCCGAACGACTCGCGCGCGCATGCGCAGTGGCGTCGCGGATACGTTCGAGGGCGAACCGTTCGTGTGGAAACGACCTGCTAAAACTCCCTAATCTCGGATTCCGACCGATCGTCAAGATGTGACTCTCGTCGACTGTGACTGTGTTATTTAAGATCTTTCTCAGATAAATTCTTTACGGATAACGCTGCATCGTGTGGTACGTACGATATATTGTTCGAATGTTAACACTCCCTCAGTTGTATGTCCGTGTCCTATCCATCGGTAAACACGTTATTTGTGAGCGTGAAGAATGCATGCCTTTCGGGCCTCTTCTGTTGCAATTTATTTTTGACAGCAAAGCGCTTTGCCGTTTCACATGCGGCAAATCCCGCGGCGCCGTCAAAACTTATCGTAAGAAAAAAAAAAAAAAATAACTGGAACTATACATTCCAGTCGTATTCGTTCTGTCACGCGCGTACCCAACAAAAATAGTTTACAGTTTTTTGTTTTTGCTTTTTTAAATATAGTACAATGCTTTCTCAATGTTCTCGGGAAAACACATGTACCATGAAACACAAAATATAGCGAGAAAAGACGAGAATTTAGCCGCCAGCAGCGTTTGAAACTGCGCCTACGCAGGCTGCGCCTATTGAAATCACAGTCCACTCGGTTAGGGTTAGGAGGGACGCCGGTGAGAGTCTAGCCTCAAACTCAGTGACTGGGCTCGAAAACGGTTTGTTGCCCCGGGGTTCAAGTGTTTTTTGGAAAGACCATTCCATTTAGCGCTCTCTGGGCGGCACCATTTTGTTCGACCGCAGCGTCCTCTCCACACATCCGGGAAGTTCAGCGGGTTCGGCGGGGTAAAACGAGAAAGAGGGCACGCCGCCGACTCCGCTAGCAGACGACAAACCGGGAGGTTGCCGTTCTCCATCTTTGGGCTGTATCGGCGGGCTCTACCGAACACCGAACTCTCGCTCGTGGCTGCCGTTGTGAAGTGGTTCGCGTTCTTAGAATAGTTGTGGCTACTCCAAAATCAGCCTATAGCTCTCTGTTGTTCTATTTTGCTACATGATAAACTAGCATATCTTTTTTCCGTTACTTAAATAGCAGTTGAGTCAGCCGGCGGTACTACCCTCAACTACTGCGTGAATTGCGGCAGGAGAGCACGTTTTTATTTATTATTTCAGACTTCCACTCATGGTCCCTAAAGGGATACTTCAACAATATTTGAAATATTCCCGTCGTGTTCAAAAATAGGTTGAATATGATCCACAATATTCGTAAATAACAATCGCACGTTTGTATTTTGAGCCTGGTGGCTGTATTTTTCATTATAAACGGCCCACTCTGGCAAGCGCTCGGAGAAGGCCCAGCGGAGACCACGTGACATCCAACGCAATCGTGACGTAGGTCGTCTCAAGACGAGCAAAGCTACGGCGAGGCTGCCGTCGAGAGGATGGCCTAGTTGTTCCAGCCACCGAAGCGGCTGCTTTTGTACAAATTTTGAGTGACGGTTTAATCTTCTATAATCTTCTAGGGGGACAATAGCGACTTCTGCGACACACAAAAGGCATTCTCGGGAAGAGCGGAGTTCCTCCTGCCCCTCTTCTCTCGTCGTGGCCGGAGACGAGACAACCTCCGTCACTAGCTGCCAAGGTTGCTAGACGGGCATTACAAGCGAGGCGTTAGCGACATCCACCAGGTGCTCTTTGCTAATCGTTTAATTCGTCTTAAAATTCCTTTTCGTGACTTTTTTAACAAGATATTGGTATGTTCGATTTGATGGTGCTTTTTTGAACACATATAACCAAAAAATGAGCGCCGAAATTTCGTTGTAGTATCCCTTAAGGCGTACACCAGTACGAACTTTTGTATAGTAAAAAAAGTACAGCAACCGGATTTTCTTTTCGCCAAAGAGACCGGCCAATCTGACACAGTTTTCCCTATTTTTGTTTTTTATTTGCACGCAGGTAACAGTGCAATCGGACCCAGTGAGTCTTTTTATCTAGTATAATATTACACGATAACTGGCATACCAAAATCTGCGCATCTGCGCTTGGAAGTTCCAAAATGACGCGATTTTAAACAGAGTTTGCACGCCAG